GCCTCATCTGCACAATCATCCGATCGGACAAGACGCCCCACGTCGAGACCATCGCCATGCCCGTGCATGCCCTCAACGAAGTGGTCATGGACAGGGGCCTCGGCGCCGCGCTCGTCGAGTTGGACTGCTTCTGCGATGACGTGGCACTCACAAAGATCAGCGCCGATGGCATCATCATTGCATCGCCCACGGGCTCCACGGCGTACTCGTTGTCTGCGGGTGGCAGCATGACCCATCCAAGGTATTATCTCTAATCCCTTGACATAGTGGCGATGAGTTTTCAATACTTTGAGGTATGCCTCTATATTAGTGTACCGTGCATGCTGTTTACGCCTATTTGCCCACATACGTTATCGTTTCGGCCGCTGCTGTTCCACGACAGCGCCGTGCTGAAGATCGTCGTACCAGCTACCGCCCGGTCCAGTTCGGTATGTAATACACAAGTGCAAACTGCGCTTTTGACTTTGCCTATTCCGACTTGAGCCAACTTGATGCTAGTTTGAATCAGTGGAAATGGACGACATGAGGGGGACGGACTTGTTTATGCTGGGTTGTCTTGTAGGTGATGGTCTCATTTGATGGCAAAATGCGCGTGCAGATGAACCGCGGCGATGCATTGGAAGTGCGCGTGTCGCCGTTTCCGCTGCCGAGTGTGTGCAACTTTAACGAGAACGAGGACTGGTTTGCATCGGTCAAGAGCAACTTGTACTGGAACCAGCGCAAGGAAATCAAACCCTTTCACGACGTTCCGACGTGATCAAGACGACACACTTGCCTCGTGCTATGATATACTATTGCGTAGTAGTACCAGTAGTTAGTTGGTCCAATCGAAGCAACTAAGTTATATACAATCACGCGATCCTCATCCATATGTTCTCCTAACGTTCATTACCTTACTGCAGTACATACTCTTTATTGGGTCTCGTCAAGTCGGCGTCGTCGTTGCTCTGTTCATAACAATTCAGATGGATGACTTGAACTAGTATATTGGAATACGTAGGTGGGGGTTTGGTTGTTATTGTTACATGTGTGGCTTAAGGACAGACGGAATGGTCTGAATGAAGTACCGCGGACTCGCATCTGGCGATAGTGTCTTGGACGAGAAGCAGCACTTGGTCGTGCATTTCGTGCTGTGAATGGCACCATGCGATGCTGTCGTCGTCGTTGTCGGATTGGCTATTTTCACTGGTGATGTTATCCCCAGCGACAAATTCCAGGACCACGGGCTTGGGCGATCCCAGGAGGAACTCCATGACCGCACGGACGCTATGTTTCTCCATGTTCTTGCCATTGATGGCGACGAGAACATCCCCGAGGCGGCAATTCATGATCCCAGCCGTGATGCCGTGGCCTTGCGACAGCTTCTCGACGCGGCACCCGACCGACGAGTTGAAGAATCGAATGCCCACATCCCCCCGCTTCCACGTCAACGTGTATCGACCGAGGGGATCGGGTTGACAAGAAATTGACGACGGCGACGGACCAGGGGACGTGGACGCGGCCCAGTTGTGTTTGCGCAAGTGCGAGTAGATCTTGGCTTGGGCGTGCAACGAACGCCGAAGAGCATTGAGCTGAGTGACGAGGGATTGGAGGTGGTCGCCGTTGTCGGCTGTGGCGCCGCCCTCTGTGACATGTTCCGATGGATCAGAACGTTCGACGACGGACCATGCAGGATCTACGTCGTTGGCATGGTCGACATTTAGAAGTTGAATGTGCGAGGGAGGAAGGCCATGTTCTATGGCAATTTGGAACGGGAGTTGACCGTCATAGTTCGTTTCTCGACGGCCATCGGGGAAGGCATCGACGAGCAAGTGTAGCACGGCGACGGGCACATCAGGGTCTCGGCCAGCCCAATGTAGAGGTAGATTGCCTCGAGTGTCCCGATCGTATGCATGGGACGCATCTTTCTCTACCTGTGCATGCAGCTTCCACCATTCGCGGAACTCTGCGAGCAAGCACGCCGACGGCGCCTTCATTGATGGAGGGAGATGCGAACCAAAGCGTACTTTACCTGATGCTATGTACGTATTTGAGTACCATTTTAAGTACGCCTTTCATTTGCTGAGAAGAGTACTATCCGCATATTATCCGGTTGTGACGTTTGTACAGGATATACAATTTCAATACTATTTTGCACGTAACTATTAACTTTGCACGTAACTAGTTAACGTTACTTCCAACTCAAGTCTTAATGTATTGGAGGCTCTGCATGTAATGTTCTCTTCCAAGCTATCGTGGGGCCATGTATTGCAACCGGATTGCGAAAGGGAAAATGTATCTTGATCATAACATGAAGTAGTCAATGCCGTGGATATTTAATTTGAGCACGATTAAACTTCCCTACTGAAATCAAATCAACGTGTCATATTTTTAATGAACCTCGCCAAAAAAGGCCCTTCGTCTGTACTTTCGAAAAAGATCCTTTCATTTCGTCCATATCGAACAATTTGTTGGGCGAGTCGCTTGTTCGAATGTCTTGCAATCACTTGTCAAACTTCCCTCGAATCATGGCTACGGCAGCCGCCAAACTCGATGAACTGCAGCTTGCAGAAGCCATTCCACATGGTTTCAAGCGAAGGGAACCCAAGATTAGGCAGGATAGTACCATGCTGCAAGCGTTCGACAACGAGAGCCTAGACACCTTCCTTGCCCGGGTGAGACCGTCGGAAGAATTCGCCGCGGTGTTATCACCAGTGTCGCAAGAAGGCTCGTGGCGATGGATTTGGGTTCCAGGTCCACAACGTGCCGATCATCAAATCAACGACGAAACGAGGCTCCAATGCACTGCAGAATTGCGCGCCATCGTCGACGAATGGTCAGACCGACTGGAGATTCTCCCTCCACCCCTAGTCCCCACAGAAGCACGCAAGGTTTCTGCCAACATGTTCTCCTTAGCTAAGCGCTGCAACTATGGCTCGGGAAGGCTCTTGCTGTCAGTGGACTCGAACCAGGTGGACGATGCGTGGGAAGCTGTTGCGCGAGCGACTGTCCAAGGCAAGTTGGGCTGCAGTGCCAAAGTGTCCACTCGAACTACGAGCGACCAGCATGTCCTTTGCGTAATGCTCGACTGTTTCTGGGACGAAGCCAACGTGCGGGGCGTCCTCGAGCAGCTCTCTTCGCTTGGACTGCACGTCACAGCATTCAAGCCAGATATATTTTCCGTCCTGAGGACCCACGACCTCAAAGCACTCCATCTCCATAGTCTATTGTATAATACCCCTACGCCGTAGTGCGATCAATATATCTCGTCCATGCATATTCCCGTGTACTAGCTATGGGGCATTGGCGAAGTACAGTATTAGATGTAACTACCGGTACTATAGTTAACAGCTACATGGCGTGGGGCTCTCACTGTACGATGGCTTCTGTAGTGCTTGCTATCCAATCTACATCACGTTGGGCCAGTTAGAACCTTTATTTAATCAAAGTTTTATTGTCGATTTGATACAAATTTGGGGAGGGTGCAATGGAATCGCGCCGACCAAACCGATCCACAATCGAACTGATTGGTTGAATTTCATTGAGAAGGTTTTGATTGGCTAATAATTTTGAGCTCATCTGAGGTAGCCAATCAAATCGATTTAAATTTCAACCAGAAACCATGCCACAACACGAAATTTCACTCGAAAGCACAATATAGCACATACTTCTTTCAACGGCCCACTTTTTGCATCTAACGTCATCGATCGGGTACCCGGTACAACTGTAGAATGTATGACGGAAGGAGTTTCCCGTCGGGCAATTGCTTCATACACTGACGACTGCAGCGTACTTTCATGTCCGTTTGAAGGTGATGCTTTTGTGTGGTGAATCACGTGCAAAATCCAATCAATAAGATAGTAGTACTTTACAACACTTGCAAATATTTATCTTTTGACCTTATATACGGGGAGTTATACCGGAGATACTGTTAATAGTGTATTAATACCGGTAGTACTATTAATAGTATAAGGTAAGAAGCCAGTGAGCGCAGATTTCTATATTTACAAACCTGTGACAATTTATAGTTCCATTTTCTCGGCCCATCAGGTCTATCCATATACAAACACCAAGTGCAAGTTATCTTGGGTTGTTTGTTGCACCACCATTTTGGAAACAATCTTGTCTCGTGATATGCACGCGGCGAAGCGAAGTCGGCCGGCAGACACATGTACAGCACCACCGCTACAACCCGACTCCATCAATGCAGCCAAACCACGTGTGCGTGACCACGCGGCACACACTCCTCTCGTCGCCGTCGCAGCGAATTCGGATGGCGACACTTCCCAAATGGACGAGTCCGTTTTGGAAGCGATGGAGAAAACCCTACTGCGGTGCATTCAGTTTGTCCTTGGCTCAATCGATCCCGTACAGGCAAGGAACGTGGCTCAATGTGTCCTACACGTATGTCGCCGCTTGCCCGTGCTATGTCCACTCGCCCAAGCGTTGGAAGCGAATGCGGATGTACAGAAACTGCTGCAACATGCCGATTCATCGTCATCTATGGAACTTTCGGTCCATACATCTTCTCGATGGCAATGGTTGTGGCCGTTTGGAAGTCGAACGCCGGTGGGGTCTCCGCGCGGCGGTGCCATGCATCACATGTCTGCGTTTGATTGCGACCAAAGTGGGGATGCCGACACAGATGACGAGGACGATACGTCCAATATTGCATGGGCCGTGCGATATATGCAGCGTGAAGCCAAGTTGCCTCAGGAGGTCCATCGACGGATGCAGTTTATGATGCACACGCAAGTGCCATTGAACCTATTCCGCGTCGAAGTCAAATACGCCGAGAATGAAGATCTGGACGGCGCCGTCGTGGGCAACGTCTCCCCAGAAAGCTTCCCTCCCACGCCCATCGGACGTGAATACCACACACAACGCGCGACGCATTATACCGTGGCAGTGTTGGACCGCGCGAACCAGGCGCTCCTGCATCTCAATGCGTGTACTTTGACAGATCATTGAAGCACTTGTCTTAATTTAACGGTATATATTTGGTGCTACATGGCACTGTCGTCCACAGCGCGTCTTGGGTGGTTGGACATGATACTTTGGTGCCTGCCTTCTTCATGAGATTGAGTCAGATCTTTGACGATGACGTCATCCTGATCTGAGGAATCTTCAACATACTGGCTTGTTCAAAGCTATGTTTCTTTCTACACGTCTCCTCTTGTGTCAATGGAGGAGACATGTATACTAAGACTTAGCGACACTTGTATAATGCTCGCAAGCGATGCATGATCACTCTGGCCGTGGGTTTTCAGATGTTGATACTTCCAGATACGAAGTACACTTCAAAGTATTGTACATGGACATAAGATGCATGGACTTCATAGAGCAGCAGATGGTGTGGTCATAGAGCAGCAGATGGTGTGGTCGTCCTTTGCAAGAACAGAAACTGTTGGAAATATCAAATTAAAGAG